ATTTTTCAGAGAATAATAAGTAAAAAGATCGACAAACGTTTCAAAATATTAATGTTAAATTTGGAAAAATACAATCCTAAATGTTGACCGTATGCATATATATACGTACATGTTTACGTACTGTGATGAGTCGAATTTTATGTGATTAAAAGCCCTTTAAAAACTTATAAATTTTTCTTATTTCAAAATTATATAGTAGTCTGATGTAGTACCATACAAAATACAATCTATCAGTGATATACATACACATAACAAAGATGTAATATTACTAGGTTTCAATAATATCCATTATTCTAAGTACTAAAATGTTGGTTATCCTAGACTTTGTGTTTTTGTTTGCTTAGTACATGGAAAATTACAATTCAGGTATGATATTTTAGCTGGAAATTGTAAACAGTTTTAATTCAGGAGTACAGAACAAACCAAGCTTTACTGTATTATCATAATAACAAAATCTATAAGACAGTGACTACTATCTGTAAATATTTCGAAGGCTTCTATTCCATTGCAAAAACAGTAGAGCAGCAAAACATCATTTAATATTAAAATGATAAATCAACTTTGAAATGTCACTATTCTCGGCAGTCTCTCGTTGTGATTTTAATGCCAGTATGAATGAAATCATTTGATAATTAATATAAGTATTCGATATTTATACAGCTAGATATTAAAGTCTATAAAAGTATGAGTAACATTTGTTCGGATACATAATTATACTGTAAAAAATATGTGAATATTTGACCAACTATGTATTGAAGTCTGGAAAAAGTTAAACAGTTCTTTATGTTCAACAATTGATTTTATAAACTTAAGAAGTGAAACAATGATTTAGAGAATTCTAATCCATAAACAACTGACGTAGCCCAATAATAAACAATATTCAAAATACATCAGAATAGCTATCATGCGAATAATACTCATGCTAAGAAAAATTAATGTTAATAGCAAGTAGTCAGATATGATTTTTACATTTTATGAAAGCACGGGCATTGATATTCTAGCATGTATTTTACATTTAACTATGCATACGTCACTTTTAGCATAAAAAGCATTTCCATTAACCTTTAAGTTTAAAACATGTAGGTAGAGTGTATATTTGGTTATTATTCATTACAGTTTCTGAGTCAACCACATTATATCCAACATCGGCGAGACCTTTTACTCAAAAGCAGTCTGGATGGGATACGACATACATAGTAGTGGTCGAGACGCCATTTATATTATCAAATCACGTGACAAGAACTGTTACGGTGTGAACTGGATTAAGTCAGTAAAATGTAATTTTTTTTATCCATTTTATACACGTCACCGGATAAGAATTTTGAAAGCTATATTACTTATTTTATATATTATTAATTATTAATAACGTGCACCTATAGTTTGTGTACTTCGTTAAATCTCCTCGTGTATAGATTGCGTACTTAGTAAAACTCTGAGTACATGTGGAGAGTTTACTTAGTGTGCATATAGACTGTGTACTAAGTAAAACTCCGTGTGCATATAGACTGTGTATGTAGTAAAACTCTGTGTAAATATAGATTTGTGTACCTAGCTAAAATTCCACTTATATAGACTACGTACTTAGTAAAGTTTCATGTACATAAAGACTTGTGCATTATTAAATCTTCGTGTACATATAAAATGTAAAACCTCTTGTTTCTAAAAATGTTATTGTGAAACATTCAGTGATAATGAATTTCCTGAAAATTTATTAACAACGTTTTAGGTTAAATCAACTAAATTACAACATTATGTAGTAAAAAAAAAGAAAGAAAGAGGTAAATTAGCTAGGAGATATGAATATTTTGACTTGATTGAGCCTGGCCCCTATTACTTCCACTATAACCAATGTGCTAAATTTATTTAAGCAATAGATAAATATTTCGAAATTAAGGATTTTTAATTCTATCAGTGAGTACGTTTTTGCTTTATACGTAGCGATCTTTGATCAGTACATCAAACAATGTGTTTTGATCAATATCTTAATTAAATAATTCATCAAAGAATGTGATTAGTTCTCAAGTTTATACATCATTTAGCAATTTAGCTATACAATATCTTTTCTCGGAAAAGGTTGTTACATATATTGTGTTCGAACTATAAGAATACTCGTGGCGGCATTTCTCTGTCAAATAATTGAGAGTTCGTGTGAATGGAACATATAGGTGCCAAGGACGTCGCCTATGGCGCCATGGCTCGCATCAGTGGCCACACCTCACTACATTGTCATACAGAGGGTGATTAACCCTCTGCAGCTTCACAGACAGCAATCGATATCAACAATGATGATTGTAAAATAATCTGTATTAACCATCTTTGCTAACTTTATATATGCTCAGTTCCGTTTATTTTAACTATAATTAAACATGTATAACACTAATATCCGAAAAATAATTTTTTTTAAGTTTTGTTTTCTAGACACCAAAGGTGATATTAGAATAACAAGTAAAACCATTTTAATTAAGATTGACTTGATCTAGAAACTGGCCTTGCTATAATGTACAAGTATCTAAAATAAACCTTTTTTTAGGGGTTACACAATTGGTATATAGAAATAACAACTGAAATCGATATTTATTTTATGACAGCTGTAAGTAGTTAAAGGTAACCATACAGATCATTAAGAGCATACGAAAGCTAACCCAAAGACCTACAATGATTATAGTTTGTTTATATATATATTGTGATATTTCGTTACTTGTATAGAGATACCATAGAACACACTAGCATATAAATGTACATTAAAGGAAGGTCTCGCACAAACAGAATAAAATATAGTTTAAAAAAACGTGGACAGTTGTTTTGAAGAATAAGTTGCATCATAATTAAGAAATTATCTCAATATAATTCCATGCGCAGTTGACTATTAACTCTGTAAGATTACATCGTATAAGTAATACTCAACGCAATCAATTAGATCTATAGTTATTAATGTTTTAGTTTTTGCAATGCTTTTTAAAAATTTTAAACTGATATAGTCTGTACTTGCATGTGTACATACTTCAATATTAATATAAATCCGCCATTTAAGTGTCAAAATTCTGTACTACATTTGGTGATTCACTCGTCCTACCTGTTGAACTCCAATGTTGTCTGCGTTCCATGCTATTACAGGAATTCCCATGTATGCTGTGAGCTGCAATAAATACTGTACAGATGCCGTATTGCTGCCAAATATCTCCGAATTGGTGAAGTATAGAATAGCAATTGTGTTTTCTTTAACCACACTGTTACACAATATCTGTAGTATATCGGTAGGGCTTGGGTTCAAAGACAAGTCTGCTCTAGGAGGCGAAGTGATTTCATAGAAGTTTTTAAACTTATATTTTACGTATTTGCTGAGTGTGAAAGCTTCGACAGATTCTCTAAGTTTCTTGTCGTAAGATCTCGTTACTGTGAGGAGTAAGGTTTTTGGAAATATTACACCAAACGTAATTTGGACCTTTGAAGAATCTATGGTTGGTTCTACCACTTGCCGAGAGCTGAAAGCTGTTAATACTCCATACAGCAAGAACACTTGATACATGAGAAGAACCTTCATTCTGGTTCAATGACATCTAAAAACGTCCCTTCTTCTTGGTTACTGACTAAAAAGCATTTCAACCAGTCTTGTTCCTGTTGAGAAGTTAATGAAATAATATCAGTGATTTGAAATAAGAAGGTAAAGCAAGCAAGGCATTTAGCATCAAATTAACATGGAATTAAGTATAATTATTAATAATCACTATAATTGAACTAGAAGTACTGTAATTATGAAAATAATAAGAATAAAACAAAGAATAATTGATTTTATCTAGCTGTAAGACAAAAACACACCTACTGCTGTTTATGAATATATCAGTCATAAACACTCAGTCAAACATTCAAATAGTCATCACTAGGATAACTACAATAAAACAACAAATAATTTATTTTATATAACTGTTAAAACACCGATTGTAGTTTAAGAATAACCAGTGTTAAGCATTCATTCAAATAGTCGTTACTAGGAGCGCTAATAACAGAAAAAGTCTGTTAATTTCCTAAGAAACAAATTTAGACCTTTTAGATACACAAACTTCATGTATTGCTTAGAACATTGAATTCTTCATTATTCGACACAAGATGATTTATAAAAAAAGTGTAAAATATGAGAGTATATATATATATATATACATACAAACAAAATATTTTCCCATTAGATCTTCTGTTTTAGTTTTTACGATATATTATGATAATATTATCAGTAAGCTGTAAATAAACAATATAATCTTTGATGATTTGTTTGTTACCTTCTTTGCTTCACTTCAACATTGTATGTAAAAATGGTAAGAGAGAATGCATGATATATATAAAACTAATGTTATTATTTTCAATTATTAATTACGTATTATTTTAAAATCAAACAGATCAATACGTTTCGATGTTTCTTTATCTCTTTCTTAGAACATAAGTTATCCTACATCAATGAAACGCTTAGAATTACAAAACTTTGATTTTCCTAGAATATACATGTAATAGTTTGACTAGAAATTTAATAATATAAGTATTTACCAATCATTACTTTTGCGATCAGATGAAAAAGTATACATATTGCTCTGCCCATCACAGGTATCGAAACCCGGTTTCTAGCGTTATAAGTCCGCAGATATACCGCTGTGCCACTGGGGGACGTTGTTATCAAATAGATACGGCTTGAATGGGTAATGAAGAAAAACTTTAATATAAGTTTAACATAACAGCAAATGTACAACGTTTCGACAAGGTTTTGTCATCATCATAACACGATACATCTTTGCAAGCTCAGCGGGAGGTCTGAGGGCTTATCATACTAAAAATCAGGTTTCGATATTTGCGGTGGACATAGCAGGGATAGTCCATTTTGTTTGTATATGTTTATTAACAAAGAAACAAACAAAATGTCTTTATAGTTTAACGTGAACTGATTTATATTAGAAACGTATTATTTGATGTTTCATATACAAGCACATTTTCTGCACAAGATGCAGTCTTGGTTAAGTCCTCACTGTTGAATTGAAATGTATAAGCTAAATGATAGCATACTTTAACATAAAACCATGATTTTTTAATTTCCCATTTTTTACAAGCTTTCCTTACAGTTTCAGTAACCGTCTTCAATAGTAGGTGGACAAAAAAAGGCCTGTAGACGGTTGTTGATACTGTATTTGAAAGTTTGTGAAAAAGAAAAAAATCGTTGAAGAAAGAACCTTGCTTTTATGTTTTCATACACATATATCCCCCACGTTATGAGCCTACACTAATATTTGATAACATAAGTGTCTGTGGGTCCTATTGGATAATTGGCTTTGTACTTTATTATTGGGTTTTTATTATGAGTTTTTATTTATGTTGTTTTTCAACACAAAAGAGAAAGATAATTTTAATAAAATCAGTTTGAACAATATTTCTCAAATTCCTAAGTTTATACTATTTAAATACCCTAATAAAATACTACAGGCCTATATTAATAAAAATAAAATTTCAAGTTAAGTAAATATAAAATTGATACAGATGATTGAAGACAAGTCTGTTACATTAATTACTCAAGTGAAAATAAGATTACACAACTTACAGCTGAGTGATAGTGAACCTTCTAAAACTATAAGGAGAGTGAATATAAAACACTCCAGAGAGTAAAACTATTACAATTAACAGCAGAGTGAAGATACAACCAAAAGTCATTTGAAAGTAAAACGGGAACAGTTATCTTTAAATTAACAGAAAAAAAAAATTTGATATGCTCATTTGCAATAGACGTAAATGAATCTTACATCTCTATAAAAACAATTAAATCTTTAATTATGCATGTACCTGTGACAGATAGGGTTCGAAATGGCTCCGCTGTGGTATTGCCAAATCAAAATTTGAAAACTTTGTTAAGTGTATATTCTAAAATTTATGGCGTGATGTTGCTTTCTATTACTATTCTTTAACTCTTATTTTCACTTTAAAAATGCACCGATGGGAGTTGTTGACGGCATTTCCATGTTGTCGAAGAGTAATCGCATTTCCGCAGGAGATATTGTGTTTGAATTTCAATGTCTCTTAGGTAGCCACTTTTCCTTCTTCTTAACTCACCTTATGTACGTCTTATCGTTTTCGTTTTCCAATTGTGTGACATTTGACGTTCGTAACGAATTTACAAAATGATTTATTTATATATTTAAACATGCCAAATCTCCATACACATTGAACGTCAATAGTGTTATATTCCATGTTAGTTTTTATGCTAAGTAGCTCACAACGAGGTCTGTGAATTATATAACAAACTCGTGGTAAATTTTCAATTTCTACCATAAAGCGTAATTTCATTTAAGATATCTTTTTTTTTCAGTATCTATATCACTCATTGCATATTTTCAGCTTAGTATACTTTCAGATGTTATTTGAGCTTTCTTAGAGTTTTAACAAAATAACTTATCATTTTTAATATATTATTGTCGCTATTGTAAATAATAAAAGAGTATTTATCTATCAGATTTAACAAACCATACAAATACTATTTTAAATTTTTCGTTAATTGGCGTTAGAGAGGTGCTGAAACACGACGTGTCTGATATTTTTATACAAGTATGTTTTATTCTAAAATAACATTGTGTATTTGAAATAAGAACGTTACCTTATACGACACATGTACAATAAGTTTAGGTCAGAGATACCGAGGTTCAGTCATAACCTTCCCTAATTTAGAACCGATTGTTAAAGAGAGAGAGGGAAAGCAACACCCGCCACCCTCATGGTTAGTCTTAGTCGAATATCGAGATTGACTGTCACATTTACAACGCGCACAGAAATATAAGTACCGGGTATGTTCCGCTCTATACGCATTTGAACGTTGAGCTTTCCTTACTGTAACACATTACGATACGTGTTTGAACGTTGAGTTTCCTTACTGTAACACAGAACGATACGTGTTTGAACGTTGAGCTTTCCTTACTGTAACACAGTACGATACGTGTTTGAACGTTGAGCTTTCCTTACTGTAACACATTACGATACGTGTTTGAACGTTGAGCTTTCCTTACTGTAACACAGAACGATACGTGTTTGAACGTTGAGCTTTCCTTACTGTAACACAGAACGATACGTGTTTGAACGTTGAGCTTTCCTTACTGTAACACAGAACGATACGTGTTTGAACGTTGAGCTTTCCTTACTGTAACACAGTACGATAACAACAAGACAACAATACAAACAAAAATCTATAATAACCTTGGTTTTCTAAGTGTAAAAGCTTTTTTTAATTATGTGTCCTGTATTTATTCAAGGTTTGTTTCAGTAGAATTACTTACTTGATTAGTTTACCAATGCATGTGGCCCCTGTGGCTCAGCGGTAAGTATGCAGGCTTATGACGCTGAAAATCGTGTTTCGATACCCGTGGTGAGCATAGCACAGATAGTCCATTGTGTAGCTTTGCGCTTAAAAACAACCAAACGAAATGAAAACCATCCAAGTGTAAGAATGTTTGTGAACAGCCAAACAATTAGAAATATTTTAACTAAATTTGTTTGGTAGATTAAATTTAGTTCTAAACGGCTATAACCTACCAAATTTTGATTAAGGTACTTACATTTGTCTTTATCTGGTTGATAAGAAGGAAGAGAACCACTAAGTAGCTCCGTTGTCTATCTAGTTACTTATATTTTTAACCGGATAATAAAAATAATGGTCACACACGTGTAACGCCCCCACAGTTGAAAGTACGGAACGTATTCAGTGGTATATCGCGGCTCGATCCTTAAACCTTTGGATTCGTAATCAAGTACGCTAATCATTAAGCCCATTTTATTCAGGCTTGTGCTCTGTTTGTGCAGTATAATTTATCTGTATAACGTAATTCCTGGAAAAAAATTCTGCATTGAAAATATACTGTGTAAAATAGTTGGATATTTTAAAAGGCGTATTCTAGAGGAAAAGAAAAGAATTTTAAGCCACTGCACTAAAACAATAGTAGTTTATAGTAAGGAGATTTTTTGTTCAAAACAAATTCACATAAAATATTTAGTTTAGTTTATTTTTAATAAACTGAGCTGATACTGTTTAATAGCCTGGAAACATATTTAAATTAAGTATGTCGCCATGTAGTGATATTAACTGAACATGGAATGTCTTAAAACAGCTTGAAAATATTCTTCAAGAAAGCAACATAAATAAAATGAACTCCATATATTTCCACTGGTAATTAAAATGAACTCCATACATGAACTCCACTGGTAATGAATGTACTTCAAAAGTTTTTTCTTTTTGTATTTATTTATTTTTTTGCAAAAGCTCATTATTGACTACAAAACCAAACATACTTTAGCGACATCTGGAGATCCAATTTAGTGTACTATTACAAAAAGAAAAGTTTCATTTTTATAGAAGAAGAATATTTTGACTACTAACGCTTGAACATATTAATCTGATAATTCCTAATTTACCCCCGAAAGAAGAAGTTACAAGTTCTTTTTTTTATATACTTTTTGACATTTCTGTATCATGACTGTATCTATTAATAGTATCATTATGTGCTAATTAATAAGAGTTTCGTAAGCGAAATTTGGCTAACTTTGGAAACTGATTACTGTTAGAGAAAATATGCGTTTTACTTCATTTTACTGAAAGTAATGAA